TTTTCATTCTTGTTACCATCATTGGGGCTTAGCATATGATTTTCTGCACTTTCAGTTCAAAATTAGGCATTTGGTGCCAGTTCGATCGATCACAAGAGCACCTTCGATCGATCGAATTGTTCTTCGATTGATCCAACTATGGATTCGATCGATCGAACTCCACTAGAGTCCCAACACTTAGAAAAAAATTTGGACCTGCATCCAAATTCCAAAATGCATGCTCTCGGGATCTCCAAATTTACAAGTTCAATCGATCGTAAACTATTTCGATCGATCGAACTACCTTTCGATCGATCCAACATGTGGTTCAATCGATCATGAGTCCCAACACTTAGAAAAATTTTCAAGCCTCATCCATTTTTCAAAAATGCATGCTCTAAGGATCTCCAAAATTTTACATGTTCGATCGATCGAATTTCATCTCGGATCGATCACAGCTATGTTCGATCGATCGAACTTCATCTTCGATCGATCACAGCTTTGACCCTTTGACCCTTTGACTTTTTGACTTTTTCCTATTTCTATTTTTATTTTATTTTTTATTTTATTTTATTTTATTTAGTTACTTCTATCTTGGTATTAAAAATAAAAAATATATATATAATAAAAAATAATAATAATATTTCTTTTATTTTATTTTATTTCCTTTTATCTTATTTCCAAAAATCCAAAAATATTTTGTTTAACTTTAATTTTTAATTCTTCTAACTTATCAAAAAAAAAAAAAATGAAAAACAAAAAGTAAGAAAATTTTGTATATACTTGCATTGTACATATTCTTTCCATTTTTTTTGCATTGTACATGTTCCTTTTCATTTCTTGCGTTGCACATATTGTTTTTCATTTCTTACGTTGAACATATTCTTTTATTACATTTTGCCTTATTTAATTTTCTTTTTATATTTTGTTCATGCATTTTATTCTTTGTTTTTCTTGCATTTTGTATATACTTGCTTTCATTAAATAAAAAATATAAAAAGATTCATCATTGTGCCCTTATGTGTAGTCATGCATACTGTATGCTTTAGTTAGGGCTTGATCTTATATCTCTCTTGCATCATGTGTTACATTGCCTTAGAATGCTTGATTTGATTATTCTTATCCCATTTGATAGTTGATGTGAGTTTGCTAGCGTGGTTATTCAAGTAGGTTGTTAAATCCAAGTTTGGGGGAAACGTTTTTCGAATTGGATCATGACCAGGCTTCATGTCTATACCACCACGGTATACTCTTTCCACTTTTTTTCCATTGTTCTCATTGCACATTGAGGACAATGTGCGGTTTAAGTTTGAGGGTAAGGTATCTTCTTGCATTCTACTTAAGATTTGAGCTTTAAATGCATGATTGAGATTTGAGATTGATGTTAGCTATGATTTTGATCTTTTGAGGACTATATTGCTTAAAATTTAAAAATTGCTTGACTTGAGAGTCCAATACTCCTTGTATGCCTTGAGGATGCCATTTAGGAGTAAATTTTTCAAAAGATTAATATCTTGCTTGCATTTGTGGTCCACATCATCCTGAATTTGTGATTGTTTTGAGATTCATTCTAGGATTCTACACTAGCACCAATGCACGCTAGCATTCAATTGTGGGGTACATGCTTTGTTGATTATTGAATTGGTTATATCCCAATTGGGCTAGTAGTGCATTGAAAGCTTTCATTCTTGATAAAGGTGGATAACAACCCCTTTTCATTGAGTAGCCGGGATTCTTGCCTCATTAAGCAGTGAACTTCTCGCGCCGAAAGGTGGAAGGCCCAAACTCTAGGTTAATAATTGAATTGAAAAAAAAAAAAAAAAAAAAAAAAAAAAGTTGCAAAAGCAATAAAAGTGAGGACTTCTCCCAAAAGGTGAGAAGTAGGAAATGATTAGATGGTTGTTGTCTTGATTTGTAGCCTAGTTGATTTGAGTTTGTAAGTCCATAGAGGTGTCTTAACACCTAATGCCCTAAAGCCATCTGGTTTGGGAGTCATTGACCTAAAGCTCGCTACATGAATCTTCTAGACACATTGCATAATATTTCCATCTTTGATCCTAAATAAATAAATAAATAGAGTGAAAAGAATAAGCGCACCTAGAACAATAAAGCTTTAATAAAAGGTCCACTTTTTGTCATGATGATTGGGACTAGATTTGTGTGCTAGTTTGAGGGTAAGGATATGATTACTTCTCTAGTTGGCCAAGATAGCAACACACTTGATGCCGGACCTCTCACATGGATTCTAGAATTGTTTCGATTTTCATGATCATTTTCTTGATGTGTGGAGGACCATGCTTGCTTGTTTGATGTTGAGATTTTGGGAGATTGCTTGGAAACGGTTGAAAAATTGCATACTTGAGGTAGTTTTCTCCCAATGCTTGTTTGCAATATTGGTGCCTCTTTTGAAAGAATGAGTTTAATGTTTGTGGGTACCATTTCTGGAAACCCTCACGAGACTTTACTCGTCCACTAGAGGTAACCTAGGGGTTTAAAAGGCTTGTTGCATATGCTAAATGCAATCGTGTTCCCTACGAAAATGGTGTTATCATTTTACTTGCTTTCCAGTTTATACTTGTTTAGTTGTTCATTTCATTCCTTTACTTCTTAGTTTATTGCTAGGGACTAGCAATATTTAAGTTTGGGGGTGTGATGAGCACCGAAAAGTGTGCATTTAAACTCGTTAAGCTTAAGCATTCTAGTACCTTTATCTATCTTACTTTGCCGTTTTAGACTTATTACGTGTTATTTATATTTTCAGGCACTAATCCCAAAATTAAGCTAACTTAGCCAAATAAGAGCTTAATTGAAGCAATCCTGAGATAAACCAAAGGAGGGAGCAAAGTGGAGAAAGAAAGGAGCAAAAAAGAATCAAAGTTGTGCAGCTGAAAAGTTCGATCGATCCAACCTAGAGTTCGATCGATCGAACATCTATGATCGATCACAGTACTTCTCGATAGATCAAACCTTGACCTTTGCTGAAATTCCAAGTTCGATCGATCCAACATCACCTTCGATCGATCGAACCCTATTTTGTCCTATTCAAATGATTGATCTTATCCACAACTGTACGCCTACCAACCACTTTTGTCCTTTTCCCCATAAATATCTTCGAAATATCTCAGCCTTGTCCTTATCCGGAGGAGTCAGACCACTTCGATCGATCCAAGATGCAGTTCGATCGATCGAACCCATCTTCGATCGATCCAAGTTAAGGTTCGATCGATCGAACTTCCTCTAGCGAGAAAAAGTTAAAGTCTAGCTCATTTATTCCATCCTTCACCGAATCATTGGAGAATATGCCTTGCACGACCACAGCTTATCATAGGGTGTATTTGACCTACCTATATAAGGAATATGATACACTTTTTGGATAATCTCTCTAGAGTCTCTTGTCACACATTGAAAATCATCTTGGAGGCTCTTCTTGGAGAGGAGGAAGGAGGGAAGCTAGAGCACCATTGGAGGAGATCTTCACCAACAAGGAGCAGCCATGGAGTTAGCCCTTGAGGGTTGGATCATCACTACCATGAGTGGCTAGACATCCTCTTGGGGCTAGAGTTAGCCCCAAGCATGCTTTCTATACTCTAATCTTGTGTATTATTGAGGGATTAGTGTTGTATGATACATCTTGATATTCATGTATATATAAATCTTGATTATTTCATGGTTTGTATGGTTTAATGCTTCCAATTGACTATTCTATTCTATCCATATGTCTATGTATGCTAGAGTAGGATATTCATGTGCTTATCTCTAGATTTAGTGTTTTTGATGCATGTCTATGTGTATTGATGCTATAGATCTAGAGATTATCAAGATGATATGCTTAATGAATGCTATTTTGGTTTATTTGATGGTTTATGCCTATTCTTGATGGTTTGTGCCTCTCCCCTAGTCTAGATAGCTTTATTTTCATGTTAGTAGTATAGATTTAGTGTAGTGGTAGTGTAATGTTAGATGGGAGGACAATCTACTCTTGATGTTTGATGTTCCATGCTTGTGAGTCCAAATGGCATATTCCTCTAATATTGTGTTGTATGTGGATTGTGAGCTTAATGAAGGATTAATGACTAGTTATGATATGCTGTATCTTTCACATGTGTTTAGACAATTTATTCCTCTCCCAATAGATATTTTGTACCTCTCACATGATGTTTAGATAATGCATGTTTAACTAAGTCATCCTTATGGATTGCTTGGACTATGAGCTTAATGAAAGGTTCAATGACTTGATTTGATATTTTGTTCTCTTCACATGATGTCTAGACAATATATTCCTCTACTTATAGATGTATTGTGGCCTCACACATGTTGATTGAGACAATTTGCACTTGTTGAGTCACCCTTACCAATTGAATGTCTTTTACACACACAACATTATTGCAACACATTCATTTCCCTCATCAGTCACTTGATTATGGTTTGGAATAGTATTGTTTGGTGGTGATCTCTACACCCCAAGACCTTTCCTTCTTACTTACTCTTTATTTTATTGCATTTTAATTAATTCTTTTCTAGAAGTAATCAACCAACCCAACTCTCTTTTGCAATCATTTGGTACGCTAGAGTCGAAGTTGAAATTCCAACACGTATAATCCCTTGGGACAATCCCTACTCACTCTTGCTACGTTAGTAGTGGTGTTGGTAGTGGTTTTTATAAATTTAAATTTGACATAAAAGGCTTTTCTTGAACCACACATTCACTACATTTAGTTTGGCGTATTGGAACGGCCGTCGTCAACATCCAATTTTTTTTACCTGGAACATTTTTTTGTTGCTCTTTTCTGAGTTTAATCTAGGTTGATTGTTGAAAGCTTTGATACCACTATATGTTAGCCTTTTTGGCTATTTTAATGAAGCAACAAAAGCAGTAGAAAGGAATTAGTAAAATACATATATAAAGAAATCCACGTAAGTATATTAATTTGGGAATCAATATTTGGATTACAATCATGTTCTTTAAATAAACAGAGAACGTAATATGTATGATAACAAACAATCATTCAATCTCTAAGAACCTTAACCTATCAACCACTTTATTTTAATTTCAAAACCAAACTCACTCGATAACACACGATAACACTGAAAGTTAAATTTTTTATTAACTTCCAACAAAACCATCATCAACATTCTGAGTTTCTTATATAAAAGAAAAGATTATCATCAATTCAAGCCTCCCCACTTCTCTACATGCATGCTTGCCCTCGTTGCCTGCAATTTTATCGAATCATGATCAAATTAAACCACCTTAAGTAGAAAAAAAAGAATTCCAAGTAGTTATTAAGGTTTTTAATTATTACCTCTTTTTCCCAGTCACATCTAACCGTTATGATGACCAATATTAGAGTTTGAATTCCAGTGCCGCCAAATATCATTCCAGCCCATATACCCTGATGATCATAATTAATTTAATATGCAAGGTTAGAAAATAAATAAGAATTAAAACTATTGGATCTCTCTCTCTCTCTCTCTCTCTCTATATATATATATATATATATATATATAGATTGTTACATTAAGTTGGAGAATTATAATAAATAATTTTGAAATATTTTAGTTCCTTTCTTTTGGGAAACAAGTTGTGCAGGATGACAACTTCACAAGTTCGAAATCCACTATCTTTTTAAGTTTTAATAAATGAGATGGAAATTACCTTTGTATTAATGCTTGTACTTTTACACTACACATGCTCTTAAAAAAAACACCATTCTCCTTAAAAAAACATTCCTATACTGTATTGGCCAAGTTTGTTATGTAGAAATGGAATGTCATTTAATTGTTTGGTATGACATTTAAAGTGAGAATGACCATTCCCTTGAGATGAAAATTCATTCCAAATAAATGAAAATTCATTGTACATCTAAACCAATGAAATGAATTTTTTGACACCACTACCGCTTTTGCCTTCCACCATTACCACCACAATCACCATCTTTCGCCACCACCACCACTGTCGTCGTCGTTGCCATTGGCTTCCACCGCCGCCACCACCTTCTGTTGTTACCACCGCCGTCACCGCCTTTCGCCACCACTATCGCTGCTATTGCCTTCCGCCATTACCTTCTACCGCCTCTCGCCTTTACTACTGCCTTCCACCTCCACTTTCTGTCGCCTTCCACCGCTGTCACCTTCCACCACCACCACTTAGAATTATGATTTTCATTTTATTCGTACATCATTTCATACTTGCAACCAAATACTAGAAAGAGAATGACCATTCTTTCATTCCCAACTTTATTCCATTCTCATTCCATTTCATTCATGCATACCAAACTAGGCCTATAATTATTACAAAGTAAAACAATAGTACTCTTTTAGTTCTTTTTTAGGAATTATTAAGTCATTTTTTTTTAATAAAATTACAAAATCAAATGAAGTGTAAGACTACCAAAATAAAGTTCATATATATATATATATATATATATATATATATATATATATTGAAATTCTGGAACGATGATCTACCTTCACCGATACACTATTTAGCCAATTCCTTCATCTTCAGTGCATTTGCTCTTATACTACCCTCAGACAGCAACATTTCTATTAGTCTCTTTATCATGCATGTGTTTAGACTTTAGATGCATTTTTTGTTCCTTTCCCTGATGGTTATCAAGAACCATATAAAGGGTAGAACATACTTGTACAAAAGCCAACAATCCACAAAATTATTTTAACAAGAGTATAAAAAATGAAGTCTCCTTAGGAAGGACTATACAGAATCATGGAGTCGTAGGTAAAGGGGCATATAAGCTTGAGACACTCAGTGGAAGGCAAGTGGATAAGCAATGGAATGCCACATATCTAAAAAGGTACTACCAATGAAGAAGTATGCAACCCTTTCTTCCCTTTTGTTTTCTACCTAAGAGTTATTTGAATGTAAGACGATTGTAGAGCCAAAATTAATAGCCATGAGCTGGTAATCTATGAATAAAAAGATCCATTGGAAAAAGTAAGTTCTCTAGCTACCAAATATACGTTGGATAAATTTTCAAAAAGTGACAATGGTAAGAGGCAACACTAGCCGAATGCCAAACACTGATAAATTTTTTAAAATTTGATGATGGTAAGAGGCACCACTAGCCGAATGCTAAACACTTGGATAAATTTTTAAAAAGTGATGGTGGCAAGAGGCACCACTAGCCGAATGCCAAATGCTTGGAAAAACTCTCCTAAAGCTGATCCTTCACTTTACTGGATGTGCTTCTGATTGGATTGAGTGTTTTCCTGATGCAAAGGAGAATCCAAATCAACAACAACATTTTCACCGGAAACCAAAGCTTGGCCATCAGGCACTAAAGCTTTCCCATCAGATGCCAGGCCAGGTGTTCCATCAGCTTAAATAATGGAGGCGCCAATGGTAGAAGGAAGATTGAAAACCTGAATAGAGGAAATAGGATTGGAAGGTTGGAGGGAAAGAGCAGAATGGGTGTTACCTAGGATGACTAAGTCCTTACATTCCTTGAAAATCAATTTTGCTTGGTCTACGAGAGGATCGGAATATGTGCCAGGGGGATTGATCTCCAAGTCAGCATCACAGTCACCAGGCCCATCACAGGCCTTCTCAGAGTCATCAGTGGTAGAACGATCAGTAAATCCATCCCTATAACCATAGCCATACTTGATGGCCCCTATATAAGAAAAGCGATAGGGAATCAAGAGAATATATCTTTCTAGTTCAGTCACCTTTGAATTTAGACATCACGTGGAGTCCACATGTTCGATAGTATGCCAAGGTCATCGACCCATTAAACATTATGTCTTCAGCAGTGACCACGGACCCATCCATTCTGAATAACTTTGGGGTCCACGACACAGCAGTAATAAGATGAGGAGTGCCACCAGAAGAAGACCTAATGCCACCTATATTACCACACCTTTAAGTCATCATTTCCTGTTGGGTATTAGGGTTGGTCAGGTTGGACGAGCAAATAACTTTCCGTCGTAGAGCCAATGGAATATCATTACCATCATCACCATCACGAGTCGGTATTTTTTCCTTGCGATTTGTTCTGAGCAACTCATTGGGGCTGCGCAAGACCAACTGGATCAGTAACAGCCACTTCATTGCTCCAGGGAGATCGCATGTTAAGCTCCTAAATGATGGGATCTGTAACGCTTCCATATAAATAACTTCAAAGGAAATATTTTCAAGAAGCTCTACGCTTCGTTTGGATACACAAGAGGGAAAGGAAAAGAAAGGATTATGAGAGAAAAGAAAAGAAAAGAAAAGAAAAGGAAATAAAGGATATAAATAATAATATTCATGTTTGGATGGATAGGAGAAAAAAGAAAAGAATGGGTATATTCTTGTTTGGATGGATAGAAAGAAAAGAAATGAATGAATAATTTACCATTTTACCCTTTTGTGGGGTCAGGGTCAATAGGGCAAATCATTTCAGCCTCCCCAATAGCCTCCAACTCTATTCTCGTTCTCATCCTCCTCTCTCTCTCTCTTTTTCTGCAACTACAAACTATATATATATATATCTTCTATTTTTTAAGGAGATGTATTCCCCTCTCTCTCTCTCTATATATATATATATATATATATATATATATATTCTATTTTTCAAAACCCATCTCTCTCTCTCTAAAACTGCAAACTACAAAATCTCATACGCCATCTCGACCTCTCTTTTTCTCTCTAAAACTGCAAAAAGACCAGCCGTTTGTATGGTTTTAGGCGAAGATCTTGTACGCCATCTCGACCTCTTCCCGCTATTCCAGGTCGGTCGCCATTCGCAAAGCTTTAGCTGGCCCGTTGTCTCTCAACTCTCAAACTTGCCCCTTTTCTCAAGGTTACTTTTGTAATTTGCTCCATTTCTCTCTAAATCCCTCCAAATCTTGTCAATTTTAGAGAGATTCCAAATGAGGAATTTGCTATCCCTCTAAATCTCTCCTAATCCTTTTCTTTTCTCTCTTATTCCTCCCATCCTTTTCTTTTCTCTCCAAATCCCTCTAAACCCCTTAATCCAAATGAAGCCCTAAAGTGATGAGTTTTGAAAATGAGGGGACACATGCAATTACACCAAATGTTCTGCTCCAAATAATGAAACCTGGCTCTGCAAATGCTATAATCCAGAAAATCATAAGGAATGTCAAGATGATGATAGATAAACAAATAAAAGCGGGGAAGGAAGATCTTACAAGTACACTCATTCTTATGTGTTTTTTTTTTTTTTTTTTTTTTTTTTTTTTTTTTTTTTTTTTTTTTTTTTTTCAGAGGGAGCGTTCATTGATCACTAAACCCAGAAGGTATTGGGAACAGGAGGCGCTGGTTTTCCATTACCCCAAATGGATATGATATGTTTTTTTCCACCTTTATCCGAATCAGGCTTATCCTTACAGAACGATCGATCGGGTATTGGGAAGAGGTGATAATAATTCTCAATTAGGCGAATCCTACATACTTTATAGAAGAAAAGCAAGTTTAAGATGTTCAAATCTAGATCTCTCTTCTAGTTCAAGATCAGAAGGGAAAATATGATCCTAGATGTTGGGATTTACATGCAAAGGGGTAAGATTTAATTTATTGAGATCTAAGTGAAATAAGGGGTGTAGGGGAAATCTAATAACCCCAAGCTAAGTAGCGGTGAAAAGAATTTCCCCGTTGGCAAGACCAGTGCCAGTTTTGGTATTAATACTCCTAGGAAAAGGTCTAATGAATACGTCACCCAAAATCTAACACCAGGCATGTAAGTAGTCTAGATCCAAAACCTGACTGAATAAAGAAAAAATTATTATGGCAAGAAAATGACATAATTACAAAAATCCAACAAGTAAGAAGGACTGGCCTTAAAGGAGTGGGGAAGATGACCACAAAAAGTGACAAGATTGACCGCCGATAGAGAAACAAGACAAGAACTCAGATGTTGCTGAAGGAATTCGCCAGGAAAATCTTTAGCAAACACAAATCTGAAGCCGAATGCAGAAGAAAAAGTGATTGAATGGCAGAAAGAAACCTTTAAATGGGCATAGGTTTATGAAGGAAGCGTGGTGCAGAGTACGAAGTCACATGGTAACTTAATGAAATGATGACAGTGTGAAACCCGAGACATGGATACTTGCACCATTGTTCAAGTTCGCCCACCATAATGACATCGAGCTGCCAACTACATACACCACTTACTTAATAATTTTGCCCTAATTAATAGAGAAAAATTAAGGGGCGGGGCAAGGTGAAAGGGCAAAATTTCCCTAAAGTGTCGTTTCATTCACCAACATGACCCCGAAGAGACACGTGCCACCCAAAGAAACATGGATTGGGTTCAATTCGATCCAAATGGCCCAGCCAAGGCCCACGAGCATGAAGCCGGCCAAGACAAGATACCAACTAGCCCATAAAGAAGAAAGGTCCAGAGTGATGCAACTTGTACATCAAGAAAGAAACTAAGTAGGGTATGAAAGAGACATTATAAATACAAAATGGTGTAAAACAAAAGAGGTAGAGTGTTAGGGAGGTAAGAAATAGTAACTTTCCAATAAGAAATTTTTTTTTACACCCACATATCTGTTACAAATTCAACATTTTTAAGTTTTTAACTATTCTCAAACAATTAAATCATGCAAATGTTCAAATTTTTTGTATGTTTATTTTATAATGTAAAATTTATATATATACTAGTAAAACACACGTGTGATGCACATGAGCTAACAGTAAAATAAAAAATTATAAAACATAAAAAAAAATAAAGAATAATTTTGTATTATTATTTGTTATATATAAATAATAACATTACAAAACCATATTATTTATTGAAATAAATAAAATTATAAAAATTTAGAATAAATTATAAAAAAAGCTAAATATAAAAATGATTTTGTATAAATTCACTTTTATTAAATTTGAGTAGTTTTATTTTTCAATTTTATATCTTTCCTTCTTTAATTAGATTTGTCTATATATATATTTATATATTTCATTCTCTAATTAGATTTTCTTTTATTGAATTTCTTTTTTTTTTTTAATTCTTTAATATTATATATTTCCTTCTCTAATTTGATTTCATACAACTATATTATTATTAGTAGTAGTATTATGTCCTACTACTATATTATTAAATAAGATTTTCAATATTATATATTTCCTTCTCTAAGTCGAATTCCATTCATATTTCATGCTACTATATTATTATTGTTATTGGTATTTCCTTCTCTAATTATATTTTTTTTATTAAATTAAATAAATGAGTTTTATAGTAATATATATTTCCTTATCTAATTATATAGGTCTAAAAAGCTGGATGGAAATACAAATATAGTATAAATAATATTTAATGGTACATATTATATATACCATCATATTATGATGCATATTATATATAATATTATAATGGTATATATATATATATATATATATATATATATAAGAAGTTGAACAAAGTGTTTGTGATGCTGCAACCTTTTTTAATGTTTTTTTTTAGGGAAGGTGGATTACAAAAGGAAGATAAATTTATAATTCATTTATTATAAAAAATAATCTACTGAAACACTTCAATGTACTGAAACACCATAATGTTTTTATTTTTTTATTTTTTTATATATACACACACATTTGTCATACATACCATAACTCCTCGGTGGAAAACCCATCCCATTACAAATCCAAGTGGGACTCCAATCACATAGTAGCAACCAATGTTAATGAATGCCACATATGACTGCCATCCCGATCCCACAGCTACCCCTGTCAATATAAACACAACAATTTTAATTATGTTGTTAGCATGGTGGTGTTTGATAAATCTAAAAATTAGATATCAAAAGTTTTAAGTGTTGAAATCTTAAATTATTAATGTAAATTGATAATTTTTTTGATGAGTGAACTCATGGTCAATTTAAAACAGTAAAAAAAAAAAAAAAAAAACTTATTCAAATTCATTTAATCAAATAAGCACTTAATTTTTTCATAATTAAGTGGCGAATAAGATTATCAAATAGCAAAGTGTGTGTGTGTGTGTGTATATATAGAGGAGTTGGTATTAATTAATATTTACCGGATAGAACTGGTTGGACACTGTTGAGGAGAATTGCAAAGGCCAAGAGGAGCGAGAGTTTGTTTACTGCTTCCAATACAGGTGTACTGGAGGAGAACAAGAAGGCAATTTTGTTGTAGAATATCAGAATTAATAGCCAAAAGAAGAGACCGATCAAAGTAGATGTCACCACTGAAACTGTAGTAGCAAACTTGGCAGCTTTTCCATTTCCTGCTCCGAGCTCATTTGCAACTCTAACTCTATTTAATAGAAATATATCATCATATATCATCAGTATATATAATCTTATTATCATTTCCAAAAAAATATATTAATGATAAGATGATTAAGTGAAACAGGCGAGGGCCACCAAATGGAATAGTACTTCTCACATAACTTACTAATAAAAGAATGTTTAAATGAAGTGATTGTGAGTGATTTGTCTTACCCAGTTCCAGAAAAGAACCCAAGAGGAATCATCATCTCAAATCCATTGATGATCGTACTGCAACAAGAGAAACAAACAATAAATGTGCACAATTCAAAACAACCACCTACCTAAATTAATAAGAGTTGGTGAACATAAAATTATTATAAAACTACATATACAATATCTCAAATTAAATCATATCCCATTAATATATGTGAAAATATATATATTATTCCGTTAGAGTAATATTTTGCATGTGGGCATTACAAAGTATGACACAGATTTATTTCGATCTGTGTACATATATTTACTATCAAATGATAACAATTATAATAACAAACAATAAATATGCACAATTCAGAACAACCACCTACCTAAACAAAATTATTACAAAACTACAAATACAATATCTCAAATTAAATCATATCCCATTAATATATGTGAAAATATATTATTCCGTTATATATAGTAATATTTTGCATGAGGCCATTACAAACAGTGATAGAGATTTATTTCTGTTTACATATATTTACTATCAAATGATAACAATTATAATAACAATGATGATGACACTCATGATATGTAAAAAGGGTTGTTTACCATATGGATAAAGCATCCACTGCTATTTTTGCATTCTCTAGGTTTCCAGTGAACAATATCAGTATTCTGTAGTACCAGTCCTCCAAACTGTATCAAAATTTCAATATATATAAAAAGAAAACAAATTAAAATTATACTTTTTAGAAATGAATATAAAATTCAAATTAACAACATCGATCCTCAATGGTATTACAAGATAAATGCATGTCCTACTGTTGTTGGTTCGAGTTCTCTGATGCCACTTTAAATGATGCACGTGATTTGCAGGCGGTGTTGGTATATCTAGAGTTTGCAAAAAGTATGTTTCCCATTACCATATAAATTTATATATATATATACACACACTGTGAATACTACAGAGAAAAAGGAAGAGAGAGGGGGTATCAAATATATGAATTTAAATGATGCACATGATTTACAGGCGCAGGTGTATGTTGAGTTTGCAAATCATCCGAGATTCTAGAGTGAATAATGGGGTAGATATCTATAGGCAGTGGCCTAGCGGTACCAGGCTCTTATTTCCTAAAGCGAGGTCATGCGTTTAAGCCTCGGTGGAGACGTGTGTGTGAGTACCAATTAAGAATAATAATAACAATAATGTGGTAGATTTTTCATTACCAAATATATATATACATATATATATATATACATGTGGATACTATATATAGAAAGAGAGGAAGATAGAGGGAGGTACCAAAGCATGACCCCAGAAGCAGCAGAGAGTTTCACAAATTCCCAAAGACCTGAAAAGGCTTCAATGGAGAAACCAGTCCAAGTATGAGGACACCCACCACAAATGGTATAACCAAACAGCCCAAACACCAAAACCCACCAAGAGACACTCAAAGAAATAGCAGCCCCAACCACTCCAAGCTTGAGCCTATACACAAGCAACCAACTCACAACCACATGTTCAACCAGAGCCGCTAGGGACACCCACGCAATCACACCAGTCTTCAGCTGACTCTGCAAGAATTTCTGCAGAGGAAACTGAAATGCAAAGCTGAAGTGAATAGGAATCATCCACAAGAGGACAGAAGCAGAGAGCTCGGACACATCAGGAGGCTGACCGAATAACTTCAAGATTGGAGAAGCAAATACATACATAGGCAAAACCAACACACAACAACCAACTAGAATAATCCAAGAGCGTTGCAAATACACACCCAACATGTAGTACTTTTGGGCTCCAAAAGCTTGTCCACATAGCGTTTCAAGAGCACTTGCCATTCCCAACTGATTTATATAGAAAGTTAGAAACAAAACAAAACAAAATTATATATAAGACAGAGATAGACAGTGAATTGATGATGTGTTTAGAAATAGAAAGTGGGGTACCAAGAGACCGAGGTTGAAATCAATAATGACATTACTGGCAATCGACATAGCAGCAAGCTCAAGGTCGCCAAGGTGGCCAGCGAAAGCTTGGGTGGTGACGAACATGGAGTAGGAGGCGATACGGCTGAAGATCGCAGGGCCCACAATGTGCCAGAGCTTCTTTGATTCAATCCAGACCCTCCGTGAAAGAGCTTCATCTTCTTGCTGTTTTGATGCCACAACTGAGGATGTGTAGCCAAACAAGGGTACTTGTTGCTCCTGCATTGTTTACTCTCTCTCTCTCTCTCTCTCTCTCTCGCCTGTTTTTCTCTTGGGTAGAGATGGAGGAGAGGACTTTTAAGACTATATTATAGTCATCAGGGTAGGTAGAATTTCGGATCCTTTGGTATGTGACATTGATGTAGGACAATAATGGTTATATATATATATATATATATATATATATATATATATATATATATATATATATATATTATATAGTGTTTCTCGTGCGTGTAGAAAAATATATAGTTAACGTGTTTGTGTACAACAAAAACGAGTATATACAACTTGATATTTACTGCATTCGGACTTGAATCCTTACAAAAAAAAATTTATTTGTCCGCCAAAACCAAACCTTATGTTGCTTTTTATCCCATTTTTCTTTATTAACAGGATTAATTTCAGGTTTTATTTCCAAATTGAAATTAATTAACTAGGCACGTTGGTCACTTGGATTTCTCATTTCTCATTCATGATCGCTTCAGAAGTCTTCTTCTCGAACTCAGAGCTTGAGCACAAAACCCTACCAATATCCATTGTCGATAGATAGTGAGGAAGACGCATCCATTCATATCTGCCCATTTGAAATTATGGCCGTATTTCTCTACATTTCTTTGTTAGGAGAGCATAATTCTTCTTTCATTCAACACTATATCACATATTTGCTCTTAACTCGTTTGTTGCTTGAAAGCAAAATCACTTCTCGTTCGGTTTTTAGTCTGATTTTTGGCTTCAAAATTGAGATGTAAGTGAATCACATCACTGATGCAGAGCTCAAATTCCTCGTGTGTTTGTGTGTATGTATAGTCGATAGAACTCGTTGGAGATTACTAGGGATGCTTATTGCTTATGGTAAGATCAGATGATTTTCAACCATTGAATTATCTATTAGGTGGATCCCACCACTACATTCAAGTTCCAATGAGTAGATGATTGGGGAGTAAATTTTTTATTTCTTTTTTTTTTTTTTTTATAGTAACCGCATGTAAGTCTACGCCACCCAGATTCATGAGTTCGGGTTTCGATTATGCCGAGGAAAGATGTTAATTAGGCACCCTAAAATATTCGTAAAATTTTGCAGTTACCACGTTCTAAAAAATATTTTCATCTCTTTACTTATAATCAGATTAGGAAAAATAATTTTAATTTTTGAAAAACAAATGTAATGTACTTGAGCATTTCAATATATATCGAGCATTTCAATATATATCGAGTGAATTCAGAATTAATTAATTAGATATTTAACTCCTATGTGTCCGATGGTAATTTTAGGTTTTAAAAATCATGAAATTTGAGTTTTGACTTTCTCCATATTTTAGTGATACGTGAATTTTAGAAAAAGATGCAATTTTGACAAGTTCTATTAAATAAAGGAATATGATAACTTCGGAGGAAAAACAATTGATTTGTAATCCCTCTTATCATATTTCTTCAGAACTGAATATAATTTTTATGAAAATATCCAAGAATTTATGAAAACATGAGTGATTGATGAAGAGCTATGAAAATGTCAACCCGTCGGTGGGGTGCAGTTATATATTAATATTAATATTTTCCTTTTTGAAAATATGACAAAAGCCAACGCTAGAATTAACCATATCTATTTAGGCATTGAAATGTGCTAGTTTGGAAATGGAGAACACATCACACGTGAGCATCTGTGTGTATGGACAAGAAATAAATAATAGCAGTAATAAAAAAAGAATAAAGGAAGAGAATAAAAAAACTAATAAAAGAAAAACTTCCTCATGCTAGCTGGAGGTGTTAGTAAATTAAATAATAATAAAAATAAAAGAAAAGAAAAGAAAAAAAAAACAATTAAAAAAGAAAGAAGCTAGGAAAAATATAGTGTGTATGCATGTGCGTGTAAAAGGCGAAAAGGGTAAAAACAAAAAAAGGATTAAGAGGATGGAATGAAAAGTGCATATGCATGTGCTTGCGTGAGTATGTCACGTGAGTGAGTGTGTGTTGAGGTGTGAAATGAGAAATAATAAAATATTAAGAAGAATGAGATGTGTACCTGTGTAATAAGAAAACACAGAGAAACTGAATTTTTTTTAAAGAAATAATAATAAATAAAGAAAGGAGCATGAAAATGTGTCGGTGGGTGGGTGATGGTTAAGTTATCTCGGAATTTCCAATTCTCTTGGTGAAAAGCTCTCTATCTTTTGCCGTTCTAGAAATTTGGGTTGAGTGAGCTGCACGCAGACGGAAAGGAGAAACATTAGTTCCGTTAATCACATGTTAACACATAAATAAATAGTGAGTTGACGTTAATATAAAGTTAATGCAATTATTTATGAGGGATTTTTACACATAAATGACTTTATGGACCCATAAGTCAAAGTTTGAAAGTTTCATAAAAATGAAATTGACCCAATTATTGACGTGAACATGAAATTTGTGATACCTCCGAATTTTTACGTGTAGGTTGGTCAGACTCACACCTGAAAATACGGGGATATCAAAAACAATATGGCAATAAAACGAATACAGAATACAAGAAGAACAAAAAAAAAAAAAAAAAATGAATAAATCGCTGAACGAAATTCTATTAATAAAATAAAACCTCCTTGAGAAAAACAAATTCCATGAATTTAAAATTTTAAAATACAATTCGGGAATCCTATAAGTCAAGGATCCCTAAACTATAAACTATTAATTCACCAGACATCTAACAATAAAATAACAATACTAAAAAGTAAACAAGATGAGTAGATGAATGACAGTCTCCCAGCTGCGGATCCTCAACCTCGAGACTTAAACTTCTAATAACCTGAAAAATAAATCGTGGGTTAGACCCACGAGTAAGTTCCCTCTACCAAACTTTTGAAAATCAATAAATAAAATATTTCTAACCAAAATCATTCTAATTAAAGTTTTAACTTTTAATATAAGATGATACATATATATTATATATATAAATATATAAAGAATATGTTCATTAATATATTCCTTGAAATCTAATACCATAAACAATGATAAGATTACTTTCATATTTAAACTAACCATCAAGTACATTCACTTTTAAGAGAAAACTCATTTAAACCTAAATTTCATATTTAAACAGTTATTTAACTATTTAAAGAATAAATAATAATTCAAGAAATATTTTCCTTCAATCCAAATCCCAATTTCCACCAATGTATGATTTTATTTATAAAGATCACATAACAAAGATCTATACTTTGACAAGTCATCCATGACTACATTAGTATTATTTTATTAATACTATAAAATAATATATTATCCTTTAAACATTAGTTTATTCTAATAAGAATATTTATTATCTCCAACTTATAAACACAATATCCATATATGTATATTTAATCATCTAACTTACTTAGCAATTTATTTATAATTTGGCAAATTATCCATCTCTCCACAAATATTTATCTATGTTTTGGCAAATCAACTATGCCTCTAGAAGTATGTTTATTTATATGATAGCAACTCAACCATGCCTCTACAAGTAATACATTTATACTTTGGCAAATCAACCATGCCTATTAAATGACAATATGTTTATATCTTGGCAACTTATCAATGCCTCTAAAAGTATGTTTTTGTCCATACTATTAATTAGCAATTCATCCATACTTTTCATGTATGTATTTTATTCATACAATTAATAAGACAATTTTAGTTATCCATTTAGCAACTCATCCATGCCTCCAATTTAACCATGTACCAAACTTTACAATTAATTATGAAATAAATCATACATAGGCACTTCATGCAAGTTATAAATATGTAATTAATTTAAATAAATAACCTATTATGATTTCATCAATACCACCATCACATATATAAACATGATAAATATTAATGAACAACTTATTAGTTGATTATGTTATATTTATTTATTTATGTGTGGCAGTATAACACGTAGGCGTATATAACACGTAAGTTACACAATTTAGCAATGTCTAAATGACACATTACACGTTAAATATAAATATTAAGAATTATTTAGTCAATACCCAATCAATACAAATTATCCAAATTGGTTAAAACAATTATGGGATAAGATATATATTTAACCAATATGTCTTATGATATAATTGACTAAAACAATTATGGGATAAAATATATGTATATACAAAATTCGTGCTGTCTTCCAACCCAGTTTTGACAAGGTAAACATCCGTTTCACGAAATTTTCGTGAAATACAAAATTGTAGATATTCAAATTTCCGTTTAACTAGGCGAGATTTGAGCTGTTTCGACACTCAAGGAAAGAGATACAAACAGAATGCTAAAAAGAGAATTGGAGAAAGTTTCCTAGTTGGAGAAGGATTCTTCCTTTTCTTCTAATCAAATTTTTCACATGCATTTATCCTATGTCTAGGTGATTAACATGCCAATTTAATCTATAGATTTTGATACCTAAGGTGATAAACTTATGGGTTCTAAGAGGAAAGTTAGAAAAAAACTTACTAGAAAGTTTCGAAATGAAACCGACGCCTCAACCTTGGTTGTTTCTTCCAAAATCCGACGTCTTCTTTCTCTGATCTGGCCTCCTTTCTATCACCCTTCCCTTCTTCTTCTTCTTCTCTGCCTCTCTTATTTATTTATTTATTTTAACGTGAAAACCTTTTAATAATATAACCTATGTTTATATTTATACACATTAAGACTCTAATCATATTCCTAGTATGACTACCCAAATAAAAATAATAATAATATTAAATACAATATATATACACATATATTATATTATATATATATATATATATATATATATATATATATATAAAATTATTTATTATATATTCCTCACATAATAAAAATAAATAATATATATTGCCAATTCTAATCGTCCTCCATGTAGGACTCTAGTTATATTAATATACATGACACATATAAATATAAATAATATATATTGTCAATTCAAATCCTCCTCCATGTAGGACTCCAACTATATTAATATACATAAAACATATAAATATTAAATTTGATTTTATGTAATACCCCTAGTTTTCAAAAGGGATAAAATGGGAATTTAAATTTGATTTTATATGCATTTTAATTAATTAATTGATTATTTGTTTTCTGTGCATTTAATTATTTATTGACTTGAAATTTTGTATGTGTTTTGAGTGATTTATTTTTTATTTATTTATTTGTTTTCCTGTAATTGTTTTAAGTATAATTAATTAGTTGGTTATTTAATACAGATATAATTATTATGAACGTGATTGTTTTGGGCACTTGTTTATTATCAGGTTTGGGTGATATTTAAGTTAGGGTTTAATTTGTATATATATAAGTGGTAGCCGACATAATGAGCCGTGGAATCAGGATTAGGGTTTTGATAGAGCCTATATATATAGAACAATATATGTCTGCAAGGGTTTTGAGAAAACCCTATTCACGTTATATTTGGAGAGGGGAAAACAGAGTTTCTGGAATTGTTTTGAGAATAAACAGAGAGGTGGTTTTGAGAGATGAAGTAAGGGAATTGCTCGCGGTTTGAGCCAGGAAGTAACAAAAGTAAAAGGCAGTGACCAGAGGAGGAAGGGTAGGTCTTAGGTTTGCCGGAATTTACAGATAGAGGTTGAAAGGTTTCAAAGCGAAATCTAAAGGCAAGTTTCAGACTATCTCTTTCCTGTAAACTTGTGTTCTGTGCATTCTTTATAGTCTCCAAGGTTAATTCAACTTTAAAACTAATGGTTGATGCATGTGTAATAGACTGTAACTTGTTATGTTTAAAGAACTGGAATCGGTTTCCTGCATACTGTGTTGTTTATGAATTGAGACTTTTGTAAATTAATTCATAGTGGAAGGTGAAAAGTTTCTAGGACTTTAGGAACTTAGACGGAACCCCAGGAATGTAATTAAACTTTAAAATGAATATTTATGCATAATGAATCAAACTGAAATCTTTTTTTATGTTTTGTGTTTCTGAAATTGTTCTTTGCTTCAACTGTTGCGACTAGGATTTAAGCTTCTATAAATCAAATCCTAAGGGGATGTGAGGAGGTTCTAGGACTGTGTGGATGTAAATTGAACTCTAGGAAGTTTAAAAATCTGTATCAAAGGTGAGACGGATGGCTGGAATGGCGCCGGAAGCGAAGACGAAGGTCAAAGACAAAAGAGCAGGCTCTCAGGGAGAGAGAGCCGGCTCCCTAAATGAGGGAGCCGGCTCCCAATCAGGTAGAGCCAGCTCTCCATGAGGGAGATCCTGCTCTAGAAGATAAAGAGCTGGCTCCCATGGGGGGGAGCCAGCTCCCTTGAATAAAAACCCCTTTGGGGGTATTTTTTGGTAATTTTTCTGACTTTAGGGACTTAAATGAAGTTTCTGGAAATTATGGGAGGTGGTAAATATTTAAAATTCACCTGTTAGGTCCTTAAAACAGTTTGTATAAGTTGGTGGGTTAACTGGAGAAGACGGTATGAATTATAAAATATTTAATGTGAATGTCGTCGGAAGGAAGGAGGACTGTATTGCCAGTTGTTTTAGCAAATTCAATGAACTGAGATAATAGGTATTTTTAGGCTTTTATATCAAAGATATTTATGATATATTTAAGTTCCATGAGGGTTGGTTAGGTTGTGGACGTCATGTAATTTAAATACATGGTTGCATGCTGTCAGGAGTGGAGAAGCTTTTATTTGCCGGGTTGTTTTAACTAGTTTATTTGGGTAAGTATAAAATACCGTTGGGGTTTTATATAATGTGCAGTGAGAATTCTTAGTTGACATATTATGTCGGGCACATGTTTTAAGATGGAGGATTAAAAAGGTCGTCATGTAATGAAATGATAATTTTCATGCCGTCGGGCATTAAGGAGGGCTTTCATTACTAGTCTTTGTTTTGATAATTTAAATGAACTAGTATGAGTGTATGGTTGGGGATATCTAGTATAATGTGCTCAGGTCATATTTCTGATAGTCATTATACCATGATGTGGGTGTTAATTGATGAACTGTTGAACTTTCTGTTTTGTCAATTGGATGGATATGGATGGTTTAAATTGTCTATCGATGCTTTAACAATTTAAATGGAAGTTTTTTTGATTATAATCATATACTGGATGCATGATAGGGTCTTAATACTATCTGAATTCTATTATGCTGGTTTCTGGATATATTTGATATTCTAATGAATATGCATCACTTGTGGATCATTTGCATTATATGTACCGGTATGGGACGGTGACATATCATGGATGGATTAGATCAAAAAGTTAAGTCCTACCCCTTCATGCATAAGGAATGGATTAACTAAAACAGTTAAATCCTACATGGATGCATGTCCTGTTAACTAAAATAGTTGAACAACATAACGGATGTTTGCTCTATATTTTTCTGCAGTAGGAGGGATAGGGATTTAATTGAAACATTTAAATCCTAAGTAAATGTCGTGTCTTGGCAATGAACAGTTGAGCGGCACTTCATTGGTTTTGGATGGAATTTATATATATATTTATGTTACCACGATATAAGCTTGAGTCTCAGGATCGATGGTCAGGGAGCGTATATGCATTGGGATGCATAACTGGCTATGATGGTTTTATGTGTGCCCTGTTAGGTCTGCTAGTCAGGTTGAGACAGGCCTGTAGTCCAGGGAAAATCCTGTAGTGTGGATATATTTATATTTATGGACTATTTAGATATTGCTGAACTATCTAGGATGTATCTGCGTATCGGGTTTATGTATGGATTGTAGTAGGTTGGAACTTGCATGTGGGCCTGACCCACTCTTATTTTTTAGGTGTTCGTCAGTACCAGGCTTAGAGGTTGATCGTGTTGAGACAGATACAGACACTCATTCTTCCGATTACATAGGATTTTCTTTCTCATTTAGTTTTGGATTTTAATTCAGTAAATTTATTTATCGGTTGGAATTATTAGGGTTCACTAGATGGATTCCTGAGTTGTACAGATTTAAAGATTTAAATTATTTAAATCTTTTATTTTGGAGGATTTTGACAATTAGAATTACTTTCAGTGCATTATTATTTTATTCTTAATTCAGTTTTTTATTCCTGCTTATTTATATATTGATTGTTTGGTATCCCTTGATTCTGTGCTCGGACTTGATCACCCGTGGCTTTAGAATCAAGGGGTATCACACCCTTCCCTTCTTCTTCTTCTTCTTCTCTGCCTCTCTTATTTTTAATTTTATTTTTTAACGTGAAAACCTTTTAATAATATAACCTTATGTGTATATTTATACACATTAAGACCCTAATCATATTCCTAGTATGACTACCCAAATAAAAATAATAATACTATTAAATAAAATATATATACACATATATTATATTATATATATATATATATATATATATATATATATATATATAATTATTTATTATATATTCCTCACACAATAAAAATAAATAATATATATTGCCAATTCAAATCCTCTTCCATGTAGGACTCTAGTTATACTAATATACATGACACATATAAATATAAATAATATATATTGTCAATTCAAATCCTCCTCCATGTAGGACTCCAACTATATTAATATACATAAAACATATAAATATTAATATATATATATATATATATATATATATATATATATTATGTAATATATATTTATAAATTCTTTTTAACTATACTTACCATATATATGCATAAAGTCCTATACATATATACTTACTATTAATATATAATTCTCTATATAATTATATAGATATATAATCCATTTAATATGGTATATTAATATATATACTCGTGCATAAATCCATGGTCTTTAAACTATCCCAAATCCTTTAAGGCGTCCTTCTCCAACCCAAGACCCAATCCTTTGGTCCAAATAATCCAAACCCCGTCCATTAAACTTAAACAAATAATTAAATAAACAAACAAATAATATTAAACAACTAAATATATGTATCACATAATCAAATAAGAATTAATAACCAAGTCATACCATACAAATAAAAATCAACACGCTAACAAATCAATTAATAATCAAGCACATCATCATACCAATAAATCAAATAAACAAGTGAACAAATAATTAATTTTAAATAAATAAATCCATTAAATTCATTTGAAGGCAATTAATTTAATTAAATAATTCCTCTAAATTATAGGGGTATTACGAAATTTTACTATTCATTTTGAACCAAATTACCTTATTGCCCCTATCTTTTTATTTACTCACACAAGTTTTGTTTAAGTAAAACTGGTTTGGGCTACATAATTCTAGTAGCCAAATAGCCCTTGTCTCCCTCACAACCGCACGGATACCTGTTCGGAGCTACAGTCTTGATCTCTATTTCGACAGAAAACGTCCTAAGATCCAAAGAATCAAGTTGTTTCACAATGACGTCATGACGAAAATCAAATGAAAGCCTTCAAATTCCGAGAAGAGACGCGCATCGGAGGGGGCCAAAATCATCACCGCCATCAAACTCATTAGATCGGACCGCCTCATCTCTATCGCCGTTGCGACCACACCAAACCCTCTCCTCCTTAAGACCTTCATCGCATGATCAACAAACGATCGGTCCACCTCAGATTTGACCTTAACCGTTAGATTCGGAAATGCTCACTTGGATGCAGAGGCGGGGTCCATCATGCCATCGACACCATCAACGGTGAGACGATCGTCCACGTACAAATCCGGCAGATTTTCACGGTAGCGATCGGCTTCTTGGTCTCAGCGAAGGTCAGCTCTCCAGTATCGTTCTTAAAGACAAAGACGCAGTACTTCTGATAGAAGGTAACCAATTCACCGGGGTTGGGGATCCCGTTGAGGTTGTGGTAATTCAAGGGTTGTTTGAGGGTATAGAAGAGGAGGGAGGTGGATGGATGCGGCGGCGCGCGTTTGGTGGCGGTGAATTTGGCGGTGGCGAAGGAGAAGGTGAAATCGGGTGGGGCAAGAATGGCGGAGGGTATGCTTGGGATATGTATGTTTTGGGGGTGAAATGGGTAGGGGATCGTAAGGTGATTTAGTTCAAAAGTAAAGGTTATTTTATGTAACAGATTAGATTGAATAGTGAAATTTCATGTCCACATCAGCAATTGGATTCAATCTCATTTTTTTGAAACTTTCAAACTTTGACTCAATTAGATGGTAAATATGATTCCATAAGGCCACTTATGTGTAAAAATCCTTATTTATGAAGTAATAGTTTGGGGATTATGTAATAATTTTTTCAATAAAAAGATAAAATCACTAAAGGAATTGAGATGGTGTATTTAAATTTATAGCAGACCACATAGATTTCATATGCTTCCACTAGTTCCATCCACTGAGACAAGTCCAGCCCCTTAAGAGAAAAAGGAAGGACAATACACTTGTAATTAATCTATCCCTCATAAGATGATATTAACCCCCAAGTCAAAACCTAAACCCCCACTACTCTCAGCCATGAATTATGTCACTCCATGTCAAACCAATTGCTCTTCTCCAAGATGTGGAGATGTAAGGGATCCCTAATGCACCAGAGTTTGACTCGGAAGAAGAGGAGGATATTTTCAGGTCCTCTCATGATCTATCATACTCACTTGTCATGAATAAAGCTCTCAAGTCTAGAAAGCCAAAGCATTCAAAGCATGCAAAGATTGATAAGAGGGGGAACAATGGAAAGTCAAAAGGGTATAAGGTAACAAATTCTATTACCCTTAAAGGGTTTAGAGGGATGTGTAACCTGATCGACGGATCGATTACCAATTATAAATCAACCCGTTTTGTAATAGCACAAATCACTGTAAAATAGGGCTATTGGTCGGGTAAGTCAAACCACTGGGACTGCTAGTTTATGGCAACTTAGGTATCTAGTATCATCTTTTAGAATGATAAGGGGGGTAATGAGGATTTGTTGGTTTGTCAGTTAAAGCTAGGAATTGAAATGCAAAAAACAATAGCTTGCAAGAAATTGAAAAGGTGAAATACAAGTAGAGAGGACTAGGGAAGTGAATCCACCTCCATTCCTATACACATGCTAGATTAGAACTAATTTAGGGGAAAAACAACATAAATGATGGTCATGATACGTAGCAACTCTTGGTTGCTATAATATCCTCAAGAAGTTCATTAAATAAAAAGGCAAGAATAAACTATCAAAGATTCACATGATCAACTACCTAAACTAAAATGTAGTCTAAAACATGCTTACTAAGTCAAGGATTATCAAGCCCTAAATTAAATGATGAAAGCACATAAAGCTAAGAATCAAGTATAGACCATCAAAGGGGAACCCTAAGCAATGGACTATCTAGGTTTTCTAACTCCATGCCATTAAACCATTCCATGATCTAACTTCCATTGTCACTATGAAAGTGCAAGCAATATGATTAAGAAAGGCAACCATCTAAGACAAGATGAATAACTCAAAATAATCATTTATAAACATTTAAAATCCATTACAACAAACATGGGGCTCTAGATCATGAAAAGACCAAAAATATACATTGATGTCCCCAAAATAGAACTAAGCTAAAACATGCTTACAAGGGAGGGCTTCATCACCTCCCTAGAAGAAGAGTTAGTTACCTATGGATGCCTTAGAAGAAGGAAGAAGCTTGCCTCCAACCTCCATTTTCGAGCTCCCCTTTTTAGCCATAAGAACTCTATCCTCTTCTCTCTTTTCTCTCTCCAAAAATCTTGCAAAAATGATAAGATATATTGAGATATCTTGGTTCCCCTTCCTTTTGTAGACAAAAAGCCTACCAAACCCCCTCAAAATAAGGCTCAACTCCCACCAAAAGACATCTCCAACCAACTCATAAAAGAGGGAAATCTGAAGTTGGAGGATTCAAGACACAAGTGGGCCAAAAATGTTCCTTCGAAGTGATTCTGCCCGAATTTCGAGAGCTCAAAGGTCCTTCTTCGAGCGCTCGAAGATGCAAAAAAATTGCATTATTCTACTTGTTCTACTCTAAGCTACTTTGGTAAAAAGGCCATAACTCCCTGCTCCGAACTCCAAATGATGAACCGTTTGATGATTTGGAAAGCTAACTCAAAGCTCTAAGTATGTCATGTTTTAATGGAAGTCCAATTATCAAGTTTTGTAGGTCAAAAATGAAGAGCAAAGTTGAACTTCACTGCTGCCAGGCTGTTCTGCGCACCTTTGGTAAAAAGACCATAACTCTCTACTCCGAACTCTAAGTGACGAACCGTTCGATGATTTGGAAAGCTAACTTAAAGATCTAAGTAAGTCCAGTTCTCAATTTTTGTGGGCCAAAAATGAAGAACAAAGTCAAACTTCACTGCTGCCAGGCTGTAATTTTCAGCATTGCACACTTTGAATATCAAGAACTCATCAAAACATCATTTTTATTCCTTTTTGGGAAACGAACCTGAAAATATATAAAAACATGCAAATGAAGATATTCTATATAAAATAATCAAATAATGGACTTAACTAATGCGAATAAGGGCGTTTGAATATACAATATTCGGCGCTTATCATAACCTCACAAGATCATCTTCCCAATGAATTGGGCAGTTTGGAATATTAGAGGGCTGAACTCTCCCCTCAAGCAAGTAGAGGTTAAAAATCTAATTAAGGATTCTGGATTATGTTTGGTTGCTCTGTTGGAGACCAAGGTAGGCCTTGAGAATGTCAATGAGATTCATAGGGCCATTGTACCATCATGGTTGATGTTTGGTAATTATGAATCCTCTACAATGGGCAGGGTTTGGATTCTATGGAATCCTAGTAAAGTGACAGTGGTACCAGTTTATGAAAATAGCCAAGTAATTCATTTGTTCCATCGAACTCATTGAATTCAAAGTTAAATGCCTGGCCTCATTTGTATATGCATTCAACACTGCTGTGGACAGAAGATCATTGTAGAGGAGTATTTGTTTGCAAAGGGATACAACTATGCCATGGATTCTAATGGGGATTTCAATGTGCTTTTATATGTCAATGAATATTTTGGGAATGCTTTGAGATGGAGCAATAGAATGCATGAGTTTAAGGATTGTCTTCATAGAAATGAAGTGGAAGATCTAAAGTTTACTGGAACCTTCTTCACTTAGTCTAATGACAGCTTTAGATGTGCTAACATCTCAAGAAAGCTTGATAGAGCTTTTGTGAATCATGCATGGATGAATAAGTTTCCTCAGAGTGAATGTTGTTTCCTTCCATATGGCATTTCGACCACTCACCTATGGTGGTTAGGTTGGGGGTAATCTCCCCTAGAAGGAACATCCCTTTCAGATTTTTCAACTTCTGGACTTTGAATACCAAATTTCTAGATATTGTTTCTCAAGGCTGGCAACTGGAAGTGATAGGCACTAAGATGTTCTGTATTATCAATATAGGGCACTCAAGCAACTATTGAGACTCTTGAACAAAAATGATTTTGGAGCTTTATCTTCTAGGGTGTCTGCCTGTAGGGAGGAGCTCTACCAATGCCAACAATGCCTTGATCTCAATCCTAGTGATGATCAGTTAAGAATAAATGAGAAAGAGCTTGCTGTTAAGTTCTTTGAACTATGTCTTGCAGAGGAGATTTTCTACAAGCAAAAGGCACAAATCCACTGGCTCAAGGAAGGGGACCAAAATACCATTTACTTCATGAGGTGTTTCTCTTCTAAGGCCAATAAAAGGAAGGTCCAGTCACTTATGGATCCACTTGGCAATGTAATCCAGGGTCAGGAGCTTTACAATGCACTTCTGAGCCACTTTTAAGGATTGTTCGGTCAAAGCTATTTGGGGTATCCACATATGGCTTCCTTTTCTAATCTCATCTCTAAAACTGTACCACCTCACCTTTTCCCTTCTCTCATGTCCATCCCCTCAGATTTGGAAATCCAAAACTGTATCCTTTTTTTTCACCCCTTTAAGAGCCCAGGTCCTGATGGATTCAATGCATGCTTCTATTCACATGCTTGGAGTATTATTAGGTATGATATTACTACTGTAGTTAAAGATTTCTTTATTACTGGGAGGTTGCTTACAGAAATAAGTTGTCATACATAGACCTTATGCCCAAACACCCTTCCACTGTAAATGTCTTCAGGCCAATTTATTGCTGTAATATTCTTTATAAATGTATCTTAAAGCTGCAAGCACACAAACTTAGTAATGTGTTACCTTCACTAATTAGCAACTCTCAGAATGCCTTTGTTAAGGGGAGAAGTATCTCAGAAAACATTATTCTAGCACATGAGCTGCTAAATGGCTACCACAGATCCAACCACAACCATAATTGTACCATTAAGGTTGACCTCAGGAAAGCCTTTGATTCAATCCACTTGCAGTTCATCCTAGATACTATGTTGTTGTTTAGTTTTCCTGAGAGTTTTATTCATTGAATCTCATAGTGTATCACTACCCCCTCCTACTTAATTTCTTTGAATGGAAAAATGTTTAGTTTTTTCAAAGGCAAAAGGGGCATTAGACAAGGGGATCCCTTATCACCATTGCTATTTGTATTAGCCATTAACAATGCTATCCAATAGAATCCCAGCTTTTTCTACCATTGGAGATGTAGGAAAATGTCACTCACATATCTGATGTTTGCAGA